TATATACGACTGCTGTGTTTGACATCATATTTTATATATGCATTATGGTGATTCTAGCAGAGCAGCCGCATTCTATATTGTATTTCTAAGCTACCTACACTGACACCCGCAACATACCAACGTTCACCAATACACGCACATGTCTCCTCACTGCTAGCAGTGTCAACAATTCTCTGCGAAACTCTAAAACCCAAGACCTCTTTAGTAATCCTTTCAGTTGTGCATATGCTTGTTTGAGTTCTATATTTCAGGGTTTTAGGGTTTAGGGTGTAGGGTCGGGGCTATATGTCCACGGGTTCTCATCTTCGCTACATCCGCCTCTTTTCCACACAGGCAACCTCAAACACGTTCATGTACGCTATTCTGGGCGTACACGTAGGCTTAGGTGTAGGTGTGTTATTTAAATCCCAGTTTAGTAGGGTTAGGCGTTTAGCGTATTAAAGTTTCAATCGGTGTCTGTTTAAGGATTGAAGGATGAGTAACAATATGTAGTATTTGGCATATTCGTATATATGAATAGTTGTGTATCAACCTTTGGGGTTTTGTATTTTTAGGTTTTGAGTTTTTGGGTTTTGGGTTTTCGGGTCGGAGGGTTTTTAGGTTTTGGTTTGCCATGGTTTGAGTGCCTGTATTTAGGCTATGATGTCCGTTGTTCGTGCTATGGCTCGACTTGCTGACTGAGAGACTATGAGGATCTGCTTCGTATTAAAGTTCTAGAGTTAAGAGTTTTTAGCGTTTTAGGGTTTATGTGAAGTCATGGACACACAAACACCCTTGGACCCTTGCATATGTGCAGATACCATACATGTGTATCATATGCTCTTTAACAGACATTCTGCATCATCCCTCACTTAATGCAGTGATGTTAATGTCTCAATTATTACAGTGATGTTGATGTACCTGGTTCGATTTGTAAAAACATGCTATGGAGTCACCCAGCTCAAAATGAAGGATTGGATTGTAGAGCGCAAATGGGCTGTAGTCCAGGTGAGTATCCAAATAAAATCTGAGTTTTGTGATTTGGGTTTTGGGTTTTGTCGGATATATTGAAATATTTGAGAGGGTGGATGGGGACGGCTCAGTTTTGGATTGAATATATTTCGATCACAGTGCGATTTCGAACTGTGTGATTTCTGGCAGAACCGGGTACGTATTGCATTCAGGCTGAGTGCAGTGAATAGGGAGATTCTATGGTTGACAGATTTGGATATGTGGGATATGGTGTACAGTTGCCCGAGAGGAACAGCGAGGATATATATATATATATATATATATATATATGTGTGTGTGTGTGTGTAGTATAGTAATATAGTATAGTATATATATATATATATATATATATATATATATATATATATATATATATATATAGTATATATATATATATAGTTATTTATATATATATATATATATATATGTATATGTATATATATATATAATAATATGTATGTATTTGTTGTGTGTATGTTTGTACGTGTGTCTGTATGTCTCAGTGCGTTTGTATGTGTGTATTTGCGTGTGTGTGTGTATGAATGCGACATTCCTATAATACGTATTATGTATATAGGTTTTTTTGTCAGTATGTATCTGTCGGGCCGCTCGATGGTGCGTGATTTTTATATCACACCTATTTCTGCCATGCTAACATCATTGAGTTTAGATTCTCATGTCTATAGGTACCAACGCATATATGTACTCTATGAGTTTGAGATAACGGTGCATATTCGGTATTTTGAAGGCTTGGTCGGGTCAAGAACAAACGTTTACTATTTATTTCTTGTTGATTTTTGGGCAAGTTTGCGATGTATGAACATGTCGGATCTACGTCGGCCTGGAATTGCTATGAGATGAAAATATTATAAACCCATAGGTGTTATATACATCTGATCTGATAACCGTCTTATTTCGCGCATATTATCTGCCAAATTTTTGTGTATATTTCCTGTTTGCCTGTGACGAAGCTATCTTCTGTTTGAAGAGTCGTTCTGCAGCTCCTTACAGGTGTGTGCTTCGACAATATACTGGCATCAATCTGCTGCTCACATTCTACCACTCATGTTAAACATATTTTGAATTTCCTCCTGAACCTCAAAGGCATGCAGCGCATGGCGACAGGGAATGACGATCCACACGTCAACGGTACTTGCAGCGAAGAAAGGTATAGAAAATTAGTTCTGCCTGCGTAACGCTTTATATATATATGTGTGTGTGTGTGTGTATGTATATGTATATATATATATATATATATATATATATATATATATATATATATATATGTG